GACTATTCCAACTTTTCTCTGAGCCTAATCTGCATAAAATGAACTGTTCCAAACAGGAGATTTTACCACACCTTCAACTCTCCCATAAAATACGAACTTTCATTTCTACCTAGGAGAACTTTTACAATCTTTTCTCATATGCCTGAAGAAGGGTGCTCATGCCTGAAAGCTTACAAATAAAGAATTGTTTTTGCAAAAATCTAGTTGGTCTAATAAAAGATACCACCCCTACCACAAGTTCTGATTCCTTTTGCCTCTAATATAGCTACAACCTGGATACCTGAAAAGCAGATATAGAATTGTATTTCTTCTTGCAGTGAGCTTACAACCTCCTGCAGTCCTCTGGTTTTATAACAAGCTACTTTAACCATAATGCCCTTCAGAGTTTTTTTGAGGGGGGGTGTTGTGGGGGTTGTACATGTATGTGAATATATAACTTGTCTTGCTGTTGAGGAAAGGGGAGTTTACAGCAAAATAATTGTTATTCAGTTATCACACAGTGTGATGCAGTTAATTGATTGCTGTCTTGAGGAGCCACAAATCCCATTGCCATCCAGGGAATACCTTATTTACTTGAATACAATTCCCATTCCCCCAGTTGGCATGGGGGGGCAACCCCTCATCTCATAATTGCATACAAGGAAATCTCACTAAATACATTAGCTGCATGCAGATATAAAAAACCCCAAAACAACCACCCCCCACCGCCAATGGCACTTTACTTTAAACTCACACACCCCTGCACTGAGCCCAGTACATGTCCAGAAGAGGCAGCACGTTAATTGGACCCGGCTCACTCAATGCCTGTATAGATCAGGTGCTTTAGTGGGGCTTTTTAGGCACTTTTATCTAATAACTGATTGAATCGGCTTTAGTCAAAAGCACCAGAAAGCCCCACTGAAGCGCCCAGTCTATACAGATGCTGCAGAGCCAAGTCGAAGTAATGCACTGCTGCTTCAGGTAAAGTACAAGTTTTTAGGTGGGGTTGTTTAACATCTGCAAATAGCCCTAATTTATCATTAAACTGCTATGAAAAGCAGCATGTGCTCAGCACTGGAAATTATGAAATCAATTTAAATGCAACAAATGCTGAGCATAACTATAAAACACATTGGGCAATCATGCTGATTGATGGGAATCTACCACAAGGATAGGTTGGTGCAGGCCATTTGAATAAGACATATAGCAGTGCCCATTAAGCACAGTCCCCCTCAGCACGGACTCTTTTCAATCATGATGAGCCCTAACATTGCATACATTTTGACTTCCTCATCACTCCCACAGCTGAACTGTGCCTTTCTTTCCCATTTCCAATTATTCCTGTTTCTTCACCAGCCTTAAATACCTAGCAAACATCACCAAGTGGGGTCCCAGACAGTTCACCCCAAACTGTCGTCCCCCTTCTCTCAGCCTGTTGCATATGATTAGTGTGGCCCCACCCTCCATGCGGTGAAGCTGCACCAGGGTGCTCTGCACCTCATCTGCATATAATTTTTTGAAGCATCCCATGACTTGTGACAAGAACACCTGGTTCCAGTCACAAGTGGGATTATTAGCAGATGGATCCTCTGAGAGGGGTATCTGGTGTACACACATATACTGAGCAGTGCTCAGCTGTGCAGTCACCAGGGCTTGAATTGCTGTTGACTCAGACCCAGCCTAATGAACTATACAGTAAATCATGAGCCTTGGGTTTTGGACTAGTATCATGCATAGTTTGTAGTACATGTAAGTAGGTGCCAAAATGCTGCTCAGAAGTGCTTTTATGGAGTACCTGTGCTAAAACTTGCAGCAGTTTAAAAAAAATGAAATATGCATCAATTGTGGATAAACTACATGCATGGGTACTATATACAAATTGCGACAGCTCTGTTTGTTTATTTCAAGGTTACTGTTTTCAGATTTGCTCCTCGATTCCATGTACTCAGGGAGGGCAGGGTCTGACAGTAAGAAGAGGGGGAAGGGGCTGCCAGGGGAACAAGTGAGGGGTAGGGGTTAAGCAGAATAAAGGGGGTTACCTGGCCCTCCCCAGATTTATTTTCTCTGCTGTATCAGTGGGAGGTGAACAAATTCAAGGCAAACCTCCGATAATTAAATTCTGTACATGGAAATTTATAACAAATTTATACATTTTCCATGTATGGAGTCTAATTACTGGGGGATCGTCTTATAATCAGGGTTGTCTTCTCTTCAAGCAAAAGCATTGAACTCCATTCTGACTATCACCTTCCCCTCTTGTAAGGCAGATTCTAATGTGCAAGTGGTTGGGAGCCATGGGTTTATCCCAGCAGTCCCTTTTTGGGACATTGATTAAGTCATTCCCCACTTGGTGCCTCAGTTCCCTTAGTGTTTGTAAAATGTTACAAGGCCATCAGGAAAGCATTAAAAGGGCAGCATGTCACTTATGTGTATCACACTTTGTTTTCATATGTTGACTCACTGTTTTGATTCTCTCTTATACAGGCCAAGCGCAAGCACCCTGCTCAATCATTCTTATTTCAAGCAGGTAAAGTGGTTCATTTAATCTCCCTGTCAAGTGCATTGGTCTTTCCATGGTGGCCCTCGTGCTATGGCTTTGCTGCTCCCACTCTGGTGGGAGGAGAATGCTTCTATTGACCCTGCCTCTAGAACCGCTCATCTGTGGAAGTCCCCTTTAGGTGGGGAGCTTTTGCAAAGCTACTATAGTCTGAAAATGATGAGTTTAAAATAGTGGGCTGGCATCTGTGTTTGGGGATAGTAGTTATAACTGGAAAAATCTTGCTGAATTTCTCTTTTCCCCCTTCACTTTTTCTAATAAGCCCTGCTGACTGCACTTAGCCATTACCATCAGCAAAGGAGGGAGCAGGGTACTAATGATCAACCAACCCCCCCCCCCCCCATGACATTTATCCAGTGGGTCTGCCCAGAAGCAGAGAGTCATTAGCACTGTTTTTGAATTAGCAGGGAATTGGCTACAATGATTTGAAGTTTAACCCCCACTGGGGGCACAGTGCCAGGCCCTGCAGCTGTTCTAACCCGGCCAGCAAGAGAATGGGTTAAACCAGCTGACTTCTGCTGGTAGCATGCTGTGCTGTGGCTAGCCCAATTTGTGTTGTGACATCTGAGCATTAGTACTGCCGTTACATCTGCACGTGAGAAGGGCTCAAACCAAATTTTAACCCTCCTTCCTGCCCCAGATCAAGCGGCGTGCTTCTGAAGCGCTTCCTGAACTCTTGCGCCCAGTCACACCAATCACCAACTTTGAAGGTACACGGCAACAGGATCCCAGTGGCATTTTTGGATTGGTATCTAGCCTGGAACAGCTGGAGGTGGAGGACTGGGAGTTCTAATGCTACGTGGGAAATGTGTGGCTCTGAAGCATTTGAAGGAGCTTGCTGGACATAGTAACTTATTGACCCCTTTCAAAAAAAAGAAAAGCAGTGATGAATGTTACAGGCAGAAGAGTTTACAGGTCCTTGGGAAGGAACTTGAGCTGTCGTTTACTTGGGGAGCAGAGCCTGGAAACAAGGGGCCAGGAGGTAGCTGGAAATGACCATCCATTCCAAGGAAAGGCCAAATGTTTCCATGGCAAATGCATGATACCAGGAGCCTCCCTGAGTACCAAGTATTGGTTGCTTTCATAGTTTTGTTTGTTAGAGTCAGCTTGAGTTGGTGTCCGCCTTTGCTGCCCTCTCCATGCACATGTTGCTTTAGGGATCACTGACTTCCTAGTGCCCATTAGTCAAGATGCACAGAGCTCTCTTTAGTCAGGGTGCCTTAAAGAGAAATGCAGAGAGGGGGAAAAAGGTGTAGTTTTTAGATCTGGGCACTGTCCTCTAGACAGCCAGACTGCTACAGTACTGCTGTCACAGGGTGACTTGTGGGGAGGGCACTAGCATACTTAACTGCTACTCTAGGTTGGGGGGAGGTGGGAGCAGGGGGGATATGAGAGACTGGAGAAAGGTGTGCCCTACTGTTGCAGGCTTGTTTAGAGGTTAGGGCATTTCTCTGCGCTGCCGGAGACTGACAGATATTTATTTTTTTAAAAACAAGACCCTTTTTACATGGTGCTGAATGCTCCAAGCAGCTGGGCAGAGGGTACTTGGGCTTCTGGGACAGACCTGCCTCTCTCAGCACAGCACATGCAGAGCAGTGCTGCAGGGTCCCCAAGGTGAATATTTTTTTAAGTATGATGTATGTATTTGAAGCTTTGGATCTGCAGCAGCCCCAGTTCTTAAAGAAAGGCACTACCCTGGCTGAGCCTATCCTCTGGCAGGGCTGTGTCCCCAGGGAGAGGAGAAAGGTAAGTTTGAGGAGTCTTTTGGCTGAATCCGCCTTTCCCCTGGCTCCTGCTGTCTGGCCAGCCTGTGCAGAGTTCTCTTCTGCCAAACATCAGTTCGTCACCTTTGCCTCTGAGTCCTGCATAACGCACGTTCTCAGAACCATACTGAACTGCTTGTATAGCTCCCCTTGCTGCAGAGGTCTGTACCCTGCTAGTGACAGGCCTCTGCTGTGGCAGCTCTCCCCTTCACTGAGGTATTCACATTTTCTGAACTGCGAGCAAGGCCTCTAGTTCAACCTTTCTGAGGACCCCCCGACCTTGAAGACCTTTCTCCTCTCTGATAAAGCACTGAGAATCCAGTCCTGTATGCAAGGTTGATAGGAGCAGTGGTGCTGGCAACAGGTTCTTTTTGTGTTTATAAGATGTACTTGAACCCAAATAAAGTTTGTAACTCTAGTTTTGTTGCCAAAATGAATAAAATAAGTATTTCTGAAGTTCCCACTTTATTTATTTATTTATTTATGTATTACATCTGCAAATGGTGGAGAGGGTCCTTGCCCTCCTGTATTAATCCAGGTGGCTGGACTAGAGGATGACATGCCCTTGCTGGCCTTAATCCATCAAATGTGTTTCTGGTATAGCAATGAATGCAGCTGGTGGTAGTGGGTAGATGTTGGCATTATACACAACATTGGTCTAGTTCAGTCATTCTCAACCAGAATTATAGCGTCCTAGGATACCTTGAGATCCTTTCAAGGGTGCCATGCCATTAGGTGTGCAAACATACTTCACAAGATAAATCCAGAGCTTTCAACTAGGGATTCCTTGTCAAACCGATTATGACCTGTTGTGGGCTTTCTGAGTCATTTGCAACAGAAGAAGTAGTTCTGTTATTTTTCTGCAGTCAAAAAAAAAAAGTGAAATCTAAGCATTGGCATTTTGTGAGGGGTGCCTTGAGCCTAAAATGTTGAGAATCACTGGTCTAGTTAAACTGTCCTAGTCTCCAGCTCGGGAAAATGCTTTACACATTTCTTATCCTTTTTGGCTACTGGACAATGAATTTGATAACTGAAAAATGCCATTAACGCCACAGCACTGTTTAGGATTGGAAATAAATCCACTTGTAAGGTGCAGAATGTAATGGTTTGCCCATGACCCAAATGTTACTGCATTTTTAGATGTCCCCAGTTTGTCCCTCCCAAGTGCATGCTTCTTTCACCCCTCTCAAGGTAGGAAGCCTGTGCTTCAACCATTCTTGGACTGGGGCAATGAGTGATTGGTCCTCATTTTGACAAGCCTAACCAGTTAGCAAGTTCATCCATTGTCTTGGGCCTGTGATCGGCAATCCAAAAAAGCTGCTTCAAAACATAGCCTTTTTCTTGTCAGCTAAAGGCCCATGGCAAACAGGGAAAGGGGTAAAACTTTCAGCATATTTGGGGGAAGCTCCTGTCTTTGCCTATTTTTGGCTGAGGAGAGCTATGGTGCCTCCAGCTTTACCTCTTCAGGTAGGAGTCCCTTTGAAGTTCTGATTCTTGATCAACTCATTCATTCCTGGGTTTGAAACTAATAACTTAGTATCCTGTGTGGCCAGGAGGAAAAACTTCCTGGCCCAGCTGGAGCCAGGCAGGTAGGTCTCAAATCTGTAGTATTCCTTTGAAGGTATCTGCTGTGTGTTGTTAGAGAGCAAAGAGCACCACACAGTGAAAATGTGTGCTTTGGGTCATTATAGGTCTGTAATCCTGTGAACTGGCTTAGTTTAACCAGTGACACCTGAAAGGGTCAAAGTATAAAAAAGGAAGTAAGCAAGGTTTGGGGCTGCATAGAATAAAGGGGCTGTTTCTTCATAGAGTGGAAATAGCCTGTTGTAACTGCAGTAGGTTAGTGACCAGTCCCAGAACATTCCATTATTGGACCTTCTGGCAAAGAGACTAGCTTGTAGCTGACAGGTTTGTAGAGAAGACAGTTCTAGAACTTGCATTAAAAAAATGGCATCTAGGGGGATGAAAATAGCAACAAGAAATACAAACTGCTTACTTAGTAGATGCCAGAAATAACCTTTTGCATCTGGAAAATTAGCCTGCTTCATGATGAAATCACTTTCACAGTTAAGACAGGTTGGGATAGCTCAGCTCTTATTTCCAAAAAAAACACATTTGATCTGAAGCTTCTCCTGTTTGGACCTGTAGCATGCGTGTCTACCTGAAGATAATTTTTCTGTCACTGTTGCTTCTCATTCACTATTTAAAGCACATAGTTTTAACATTTAAAAACTAGGGCTGGAAAAAGTACTATATAAAGAAATTATTCAGTCAGCAGTAAGTCAATGTGCGTGCTTCTTTTCTGTCCAACAAGGAGGACGTGAAAATAACACAGGACATAGCTCCTGCAATTACTAAAGCTAACTAAATTGGACTGATGGGAAAGGCTGAAACTATATCCTTCTCTCAACACACATTCCTAGCAGTATGGAGGGTTTAAGAATAAGTTTTATCAAAAGGAGGAGGTATAGAAAATGAGTGACTTGCTCAGGACTGTGGAGGTGAAACGGTTACCTTGTTCCGAAAGTGTCATATGGAGTGAGTGAGGATAATGTCACAACTCTCACCCACCCTTCCCTCCTGAAGAACACAACTTATTTACACCAGCAGTGTCAAGGGCACTGAGTCCCCACTGCAGTTGGATAGCTGACTTGCTCTAGAAGTGCTCAAGTCTAGGCAGACACATGCACAAAGTCCCTGACTCACCTGTTCAGGCTCATACCTTTATGCACTGCTGACAGAAGAGTCCAGCTTCTCTTGGGGATCTGGTAGCTAAAGAAGTTAATGTGGCAGCTCAGTGAACGGTTTCCTGGTGACCCCTGGCTGGTTGCTAATGTGGCTGAAAGTCTCCTCGAGGCAAAAGCCAAGATGAATAGGGCTTTTTCTACAAATCTTTATTTGAGAGTTACAAAAACTGTTGGGGGGGGGGGGGGG